GAACCCTAATAAAGGTCCAGGGTTTCTTACTCAGGTTCCTATATCAAGCTTTGGGGTTTAGGGTCTAGGGTTTAGCGATGTTGTGGCGCTGGGTTTCTAGTCAAAAGCAGTCACTGTTTAACTCGAGTCTACGTCATTGATGAAAGTGCAGTGGTAGAAGACTGTAGACTCCCCTGCACCCGAATCATGCTCGAAACCCTAAAGCACTGAACACCGCATCACCGAACTTACATCGCACAGTGAGATTTGGGTGATTGATTGGATCGGTGCTTGCCCTTGAGGGTTCAAGTACCAAAGTTTACTACCCAACAATCATACACTCCTCCAGAAACTAACCTGCATTGCTACGTACCTTTTCGATTCTTCCTTATTGGGCCTGAGAGGGTCTAGTTTCACGAGCATGTTTCAAAGTCTTTACAGGGCCAGCTTAGTTAGTAGGTTCCCAACCAACCCTAAACCCTAAACCCTAAACCCTAAAACCCTAAAACCCTAAACCTAAGCTGTAGTTCCTCACTTGGCACCTTCGAAAGGCTCATCTATGGCGGCTTGGCTTCGATGGGCTTTGAAGCTAGCCCCGTTCCAGTTTTTATATAGTGGGAATGTCTTTGGTGTTCTTCTGCCATCCTCCGTGCTGATGTTCCCTCGACGCTAAACCCCCAACCTAGCCCCTAAGAAACTCCTTCAGCCCTAAAGCCTGAAACCGTAAGCCGCTTAAGCCCTAAAAACCCAAAACCCCCAAACCCTCAACCTTGAACCGAAGGCCCCTTAAGCGCCAAAAGCCCGAACTCAACCTTAACGCCGAAGCCCCTTATGCCCTAACAACCCTATAAGCCCCTACAAACCCTCACCTCGTCTGGGATATCGGAGACTGGGGCTCAAGTTGGGGCTCGGATGTGCTTCCCAAATCCTATTTAGGGTCTGAGGCTTAGGGCCCTAGACTCCTAAACCCAATAAACTCTGATTCGAAGCTCTGATATGGCAAAGGAAGCCTTTGAAAGGAACCCTTTAAAGGATACCTTCAGGGATCCCGTCAAGGAGCTTGCAGGGGAACCATATCTAGAAAACCCCCAATATAACCCTAACCCCCCGCCCCCCTAAACTCCTAAACCCTTATTAAGGGTTTAGGTCTAGTTCCTAGGTAGTATTAGGGAGTCCCCTCAAAGGGGACCCTTCTTAACCCTATTAATGGCTCTCTTAAAAGGGACCGTATTGAGAGGGTCTGTCCCCAAGGGTCCCCCTAAAACCCCTAAACCCTTATAGAACACTCAGAGGGGTGCTCAAAGGAACCCTTAAAGCTTAAAACCTCCCAAAACCCTAGCACCGTTACAGGAGTCGATGCAGGAACCCCTCTCAAAACCTCAAAGCCTTAGAGGAGCCTTGACAGGAGCTGATCAAAACCTGAAAGGAACCCGAAAACCCTTATAATACGATTATGAGAACATATAAGAACCTTGTCTAACGCAGAGGAGACGCCAACTTAACGGAACCCTCAACCCTAAACCCTCAAGGGAACAGTAGAAAAGCCTCGGAAAAGGAGCCCGTTCCAGAAAACCGTAAAGGAGCCCTAAACCCTAAACCACCCTAAAAAGAAAACCCGAATTCCTGAACCCTGAGCCCTAAACCCGAAACCCTAAACCCCAAACCCTACACCCTAAGCCCTAAGCCACCTTAACAAGGACACCCTAAACCCTAAACCCCTAAACCCTAAGCCCTAAGCCACCTTAAAACGGACACCCTAAACCCTAAACCCCTAAACCCTAAGCCGCCTTAAAACAGGGAGCCTCCCATGTTCCCAGGGCTTAGAGCCAAGGCTATGCTCGCAGAGCCATGCCGGAGGAGGCGAAGGCTCGTTGGGTTGTTTTTGTGTGTGTTTTTGTTTAGGGTTTTATAGGGTTTTTAGCCTGAACCCTAAGCCCTAAACTCTAGCTTAGGGTTTTAGGGCTTAGGGTTTTAGGGTTTTAGGGTTTCAGGGTTTTAGGGCTTTAGGTCTTTAGGGCTTTAGGGTTTTAGGGTTTAGGATTTTAGAGCTTCAGGGTTTTGGGGTTTAGGGTTTTAGGGTTTTTAGGGTTTAGGGCTTTAGGGCTTTAGGGTTTGGGGCTTTAGGGCTTTAGGGTTTTAGGGGTTTGGGAGGTTTTTGGTGTTTGGGGTTTAGGGTTTGTGGTTGTTTCCTCTGGTGTGGGTTTAGGATTTAGGTTTAGGGTTTAGGGTTTAGGTTAAGGGTACTTCGAGGCTTCAGTGGTGTTCGGAGTGCCTTTTACGGCACTTCGAGGGTTTGGGTTGGAGAGTCGATCGTGTTCCAATAACTTGCTTTCTATAGTTTGTTAACTTTTACATGTGTTTGGTACAGGCTTACTATGGAAAATTTAGGTTTTTATTGCCTGTGGGGCTTATGGTTTAGTTTTCAGAACCCTAAACCCTAAACCCTAAACTCATGCATGCATCCGTGGACGGACTGTAGGGTTTCTGCGAGGGCTTACAGAGGGTTCTAGGATTTCGGGATGCAAGAGAAGGGCTCCGCAGTGTTCAGTTTTTAGGGCTTAGGGCTTGAGGGTTTTAGGGTTTGGGGTGTAGGGTTTAGGGTTTGGGGTTTGAGGTTGGGGATTTTAGGGTTTTAGGGTGTGGGGGTTGGGGGTTGAGGACGAGGTTTCAGAGAGGATGATTGGGGTCCGATATTTGTTCGCGGGGGATTTTTTGCACTAATTATGGTTCCAGGCTGTTCTGTTTTAAACCTTTCCGGAGCAAGTAAAAGGCCCCAGACCTCGCATTGCACAAAGCCTAAGCTCAGACCGAAGCCCTAAACCCTCAAGCCTACAGCCCGCGATCCCGAAAGACTTGAAACATAGGAAACATACACACGTCTCTTGTGGCCTGCATCCTTTGAAGTCCTAAGCTCAAAGCCCTGGACCCTAAACCCCGAAACCCTAAACCCCAACCCTGAACTATCAACCCAAACCAGAGGAAACAACACAAACCCTGAAACCCTAGACCCCGAAACCCTAAACCCTGAACCGTGAACCCTAAACCTTAAACCCCGAAACCCTAAACCCCAAAAACCCTGAAACCTAAACCGTGAACCCTAAACCTTAAACCCCGAAACCCTAAACCCCAAAAACCCTGAAACCCTAAACCTAACAGGCTCGGCTCTATGAGTTGCAGGATCGAGTCCCCGTAGATGAGGAGAGCTCTTCAGCAGCACTGAGCTTCGCAAGTTTATGGTTTCAGGGTTTGGGGTTAGGGGCTCAGTAGGTTGGGGCTGAGTAGGTAATTCTGCGACCTTTTTGGGGCCTTTTCGTTAGGGCTCTTTGTTAGGATTTTCTTATATAAGAGTCCTTAACAAGGTGGGTTATTTGGTGTTAAACAAGCTGTGTGGGGCTCAGTACTGTTCGGATTTACTTGTCTACGTCCTTACTCAAAATGGTAGGGTTCCCTACGCTAGGATATGTGGTGTTAAGAGAGCTGCTTTTGGGGTTCCTTGGTAGGAGTTCGTCAAACAAGAGAGTCCCTAAAACGGTAGGTTCCTGTAAAAACCTTAAACTCGAAACTGTAAGAGCGATTTTATTCCAGATCGAAGCCGGAAAGACGAAGGACAGGGCTTCACGGCCATTTAGGGTTATAGGGTTTAGGTGTTTTGGGTTTAGGGGTTGTGGGGGGTAGGGCTTAGGGTTGTAAGGTAAACTGAGCTCAGGGCTTCGAGTTGTGGGGCAAAGGTTCAGGCCTTAAAATTGCGAGCAAAGGCTTTAGCGTTTCGGTTTAGGGTTTAGGGTTTAGGTTTCAGTGGAAAGTGCTGGGGCTTTCAAGTTGGGGTCCACATACTTACATACAGACAAGCTTGGGGGTATAGTGGTATCATCCTACAAGGACTATATACTTGGCACCGGCGTTTAAGTATACAAACCTCTGCATCATATACGATATGCTTTGGCGACATCAGGCCCGTTGAAAAACTGTCCAAAACCCTACAAACAGATTTGGCTTCAGCCTACAAGAAACCTTATCCAAGCGCAAAACCCTCCAAAATCCTAAACCCTCCACAAAGCTTCGGCCTCCGAAACCCTGGGTCCTAAACCCCAAACCCGACCAGGACCCCCCAAGTACCCTTCAATGAAGCCTTCTATGGTCCTTAATAGACGGTATTTGGATTATCATGGTAAACTTACACGTTACAAAACTGTCGACATTGAAACTATACTATAGTGTATACTCTAAGCCTGTTGGAAAAGCTATATGAAGCCTAGAAGGACTTTTGGTTTCAGGTTACAAAATCGGCTAAAACCCCAAGCACCCTAAACCCTTAAACCAAAAACGACACCAGAAAACTTCAGGAAACCCTAAACCATAGACCTCTTAAAGCAAAAGCGGAACGAGAAACCAAAGGTTACAAAATTGTCTGGACTGCCCACGAGAAGTTGGGGGACTTGGACCAAGCCGAAGCCTGGGCGTTGCGATCCTTGTCATTGGTTTGAGAGTGTAATTTAGGGGCCTTAACAATTCAGCTAATGATTAGGGTTTAGGGTTGAGGGTTTAGGGGCTTCTGGCGCCAAGCATACTAAAAATATTATAATCAGGAACCCCCAAGATATTATTCGTAATTCTTTAGGCCCCTGCAGTAGGCCTTCAGGTAGAAAATGGTTACATCCAGGGGCCTTAATAATGATTAGAGTGGGGCTTCTTTGTTTTAAAGTTTTAAAAGGCTAAACCCTAAACCCTAAACCCTAAACCCTAAACCCTATAGGGGGCCGGAACTCTTTAAAAGGGTTCTATAATAGGGGGGAACTTCATCTCCAGGGCCTCGAAGGCGCAGAAGTGAGGGTTTGAATTTAGGGTTTAGGGTTTAGGGTTTAGGGTTTAGGGTTCTATCGGGGTTTGTGGGTTTGCAGGGTTCTTTATGGTTTACCAGCGTTCAGCGGGCGCCCTTTCTTGATCCCAAACAGGTATGTTAGGGGTTGCGGCCTCCAGTGCCTAAGGCCTCATCGGGTTTTGGGTTTAGGGTGTAGATTTTAGGGTTTAGGGTGTAGATTTTAGGGTCTGGAGTGTAGATTTTAGGGTCTAGGGTTTCGGGTTAAGGGCTTTCTTGTAAAGACTTGGTGCTTGCGGCTATGTCAGGATCTAAGGGCTGTTGGGTTTGAGTAGGCTTACCGTGCCTGGGAGGAACAGCTGGGGGCTTGGGGCTTTCGGGCTTTTTGGTTTGAAGGTTGGGGATACTGAACCCCAAGCCCCAAACCCCTGAACCCCAAAAACCGTAAACCCTTAACAGGCCCATAAACTCCAAAACCGTAAACCCCGAAACCCTGAGCCCTAATAGGGTCCTTGCAGGGTACCATCAGGATTGAGTGTTAAGGGTTTAAGGGTCCATGTGCTCATATGTCGTCTACTTGGGCCCTAAAAGTAGCGATATAGGGACTAGGGTTGTCGGCTTATCTATAGTCTCCATTGTAGCTCCTTTTTTTTGGGTTTGACCAATTATGTATTCAGGATTTTATAAGGTATCCCCAAAAAGGAACTACAATGGAGACTGCAGGTAGGGTATTTTATATGAGTACGTGGATCCTTTGAAATTATATTATGCCGCCGCCAGCCTGTTCCAATCGCGACGTCATTGAACTAAACACCCCCAAAATAAGCTTCAAAAGACCCCCAAGCCCCCAAACCCCTAAACCCTAAACCCCTAAAGATTCAACCCTCTAAACCCACCCTTAACCTCAGATTCCACCCAAGCCCTAAACCCTAAACCCTAAACCCTAAACCCAAACAAGCTCCATTGATAAGGCCCTAGACCCCACCCAAGTGCTCGAACCCTGATATGGTTGGCCCTGAACAGCTAGAGTTTCGGCTCGGTTCGGGCTTCTTGATAGGGCTCCTTTAAGGGGCTTAGGGCTTCTACAGGGGTTGTTTGTATAATGTAGGGGTTTCAAGAGCTCCTTTAAGGGGTTTAGGGCTTCTACAGGGGTTGTTTGTATAATTGTTGGGGTTTCAAGAGCTCCTTTAAGGGGTTTAGGGCTTCTACAGGGGTTGTTTGTATAATTGTAGGGGTTTCAAGAGCTCCTTTAAGGGGTTTAGGGCTTCTACAGGGGTTGTTTGTGTAATGTGGGGGTTTCAAGAACTACACGGTCGAGTGCAGCATTGTATGGACTATTGTAAGTACAGAAATTGCCAATATGGCACCTCACGTCTCCAACTTGGCTAGCAAACCTGTGGCGATGCAGAAGCCGGATATTAGACGCAAGTCTCTAGAATCGAGGTTTAAATAACTCTAACTCAGGGGCGGAGTAGGTAACCTTCAACCTTTTGGGGGCTTATACTGCCCTACTCAAAAGGTTACCCTAAGGGTCCAAGTAGTCCTTATTTATGGTTTTAAGTACCCAAAAAGGCCCCAAAGTCCTTAAATAATGGGTACTTGGACCCTTAGGATTAACCTTTTTGGGCTAAGGTTCTGAGTCCCTAAGCCAACAGCGAGCGCCTGACAATCCGAAGCCCTGGACACAAGCCTCAGATGATCATTTGGGGAGTTCCGAAAATAGGTGACCCTAATATAGTACCCTAAATAATAGGATCCCTATTATATGGACCCCCAAATAAGGTACCCTAATTTTCTGAAACTCCCATTTGAGGTATGCTGGACGACAACTTCCCGCCAGGGTTCCTTGGCCCCAAAACCAATGCAAGGTGATCACATTGCATGGATCGGAATTTCAAGTAACAGTATCCCCTTACTGCCCTAGAAGTTACATTATTTCGGCCTAAAGCCCCAGTTGAATTTCCAAGGCCCCTTAGTCTGCGTCCTACAGGCCTCCAGCCAGTAAAGGTTTGTAATGGTTGTAAACAAAAGCGGCAGTAATTCTTGACACATGTTGTAGCAAAAAACAGTAACAAAAAGATGGATAGGAGCAGTAGCATTCACCTCAATATTGGTCCCCGTGGTCTCCATTGTAGTTCCCTTTGCTGTTACCTTATAGGATCCTCAATATAAGGTTTGTTAAACCCCAAAAAAGACCAACAATGGAGGACTCCCAGTCTCTGGTTCACAGCGAGCCCAATCGTATTAACTCACAAGATCACTCGACGGTAGACTAGTAGAGTTGCAGTGGGAGCAACATTCGATCACCAACAGAAGCACCAGTGCAGTGCACTGGTGACCTCGTAGCTTAGTGACTGTATTAGCATTGAAGCACAAGACACGATGACGACTACTACCGTTCTTGGTGATGTTCTATTGTGCTTGCGAGTCATGGCATAGTACACACACACACACGGCGGCTGTTGTCAACAATCTTACCACCCGGTCTTGACTGAATCAAATTCCCTGGCTTTGTCTGGACTTCAGGTTGGAGAAGGTTGTGGGACACACTAAACCGTAGACATTGGGTACTGCCCCCACTCAGTCACAGTTGGATAACATTGGTATTATGGATATAGTAGGCCCTTAATAGTAGCCCTACTATGGACTGTTACTGTATGGGGGCAGTACCCAACCTAAACACTAAACCACATCGCCCTTAGTTTCAAGCTCCATGACGTCTAGGCTGCTGAGTCTCGGGCATCGTGTGAGTCTAGGTTTCAGGAGTATACAGCCTTGAGGCCCCCAAGCCCAAAGCCGTAACCGTAGCGCTAAACCCTAAACCCTAAACCCTAACCGTAGTAAACGTAGCCTTTAGGGTTTAGGGTGGAGAGTTCGGGACGATGAGGCTTGGGACCTACCTCTGGCTCATCGCGACTTGCCTGACACTGGCGGAGATGTACAAGTCCCAGAACCCAGAACCCTAAAGAACCCAAAATTCCAGAACCCAAAACCATAAAGAACCCAAAACCCTAAACCCCAAAAATCCCCAAAGGCTAGCCAGCTTGCCGAGGTACGAAACCCGAAGCCCCTCCCCCCGCAATTAACTTAGGGTCTAGGGCTTACCTTAACCCCCAAAAAACCTACCGTTTTTAAAAGGGCTCCAAAAAAGAAACAGACGTCATATTAAGGAACGCTCAGCTCAAAAGGTATGTAGGCTTCAGAGGGTTCAGGTAAAACCTTAAAACTGCTCAAAAAAGAAAAAGTCAGACTAAGGCATACTCACAAGGCAGGTTTCAGAGGGTTCAGGTAAAAAAACCCTAAACCCTAAACC